ATGTTTAGCTTTTCTGAGGTTAGGGGTCTAAACGTCTAAAGCCTAAACCGTTAACCCTAAACCTAAACTCTAATCCTAAATATAGGGGTAGGATTACGGGGTTCAGGGTTTAGGATTCTGTGGTTCATGGCGGAACTTGGTTTTTGTGGTTTATAAGGACTGGAACTCTTGCAGAACAGGGTTGCTGTTGACACGGACTTTGATGTTCGTTGACACGAGCTACTTCCTGAGCTTCACGAAGTTGCAGGATTGATCTGCTAGAAATCCCACATAAAAGAGGCGTAGTTTACCAGATGGCAATGAGTCAGCAAGTGACTCCACTTGGAAGGGCAGGGGACTTAGTAAGTAGGTTATGAGTAGGGTTCTAATTGGGGTAACTCCATTTAGGGTACTTATAACTCTACTTATAACCGACTTACTAAGTCCCCTGCCCCTCCAAGCATCACCCACCCAGCGTAGCGCTTGTCCATGGGGAGGATCCGCCAGGGTGAGTGGGATCATGCTGCGGAGGTACTTGGAGGGTCTTTAGGGGACTTAGTAAGGGCTCCTTTCAAGGGGATTCTAAGGGTTCCTTTAAAGGGCTCTATTGGGTTTAGGGTTTAGGGTTCAAGGACTTAGTAAGTAGGTAGTAAGTAGACTCATAGGGTTTAGGGTTGAAGGACTTAGTAAGTAGGTAGTAAGTAGACTCATAGGTACCCTAGAAGGGAGCCTAATTGGGGTTATGGTACTTGTAACTCCCCAAAATAACCAGTTACTACGTCCCCCGACCCTCCAAGTAAGCCATACAGCTTGAAGTCCACGTCCCCCTATTAGCCCAAGCAAGGCTAATGTACTTGGAGTGCTATAAGTAGGGTAACTATACTTATAACCTATATTGAGGGCTTCGTAGCCCCACTTATGACTACCCATCAACCTCCCTCCAAGTCGAGGTCTCAGTAACTTGAATTTGGGTCTAATTTGTAGTATAGATATAGCAAGTAACATCCAGGAATCATATTGGTAGTCTTATTGGGCCCTCGGATGATGTGTGCCCCAGAGCCATTGGGCCCGATATGTGCGCCCAACCTAACCGGAAAGTCTCCGGAAACTGAAATACCATCTTCAACCCCAAAGTCCCGGGCCCACAAACCCCATGAAGCCAGAAAGTTGGAACATTATTGTCCTGATGCTTTTAAGGTAAAGAAAAGAGATTCCTACTGTTCCAAACCTGTAGCGAGCCCCTTAAAGGAATATTCAAACGAGCCCTCCATGGAACCTCGGAATCCTCTAGGGAGCCCTTAAAGGAATCCTTAGAAACCAAGATCTACAGGAACGGCACTTAAAAGGAGTTCCTAAATTCTAAACCCTCCAAAGGGGGCACTTAACAGGAGTCATTAGAGGAACCAGCAAGGTCGGCATCATGTATTGGCTGGCCATCACCCTCCTGGCGGTCTTGGAGACCCTGGGCGCTGCAGGGCCCCCTGGAGACTTTTCAGGGCTGTAGGCGGTCTACGGATGTTGGGGTTAGGCTTTAGGGCTTCAGGGCTTTTACTTCAGAGTTTGGGGCTTGAAGGTTTGGGGCTTAGGGGCATTGGGGTGTGTAAATAGGTACGTTCGAAGGGTACATGGGTAGTTGCAAGGTTCTATTGAAGGGTTGTTGGTAGTTCTATGTCGGGTTCGAACGACAGCCAGGCCATTTGCAACCCTATTTGAGGGATGTATGCGTTAGGGTTGTTATTTTGGCTTTGGGTGTTGTGGGAAATACGGCTTCGGCGTTTGCGGCTACCTGGTTCGGGAATATGTGATAGGGTTGGCATTAGATCTGGGTTGGGGCTATACGGCTGTTTTTGCCTGGGGTTTAAAGTACATAGAGAGAGCCAACTTCGCGCGGCCTGGGTCGACTTAGCCTCAGGGCTTGTAGAGAAGCTTCAGCGCTGGAACGCCATAGAAAACAAGACTGTACCTGTAGCCCCAAAAGAAACGCCGTACCCTAAACCTCCCCGAACCTTAAACCCTAGACATCCTCCCTTTGCTTTCAACTATAGACCTTTCACTCTGAAGCGTAAAACCCTCCTGAAGCCGCAAGCCCTGTCTAGCTACTCTGGAGCCAAAGTACATGCATGGGCAGTTCTCTGAACTAGGGTCCCCTACTTGGAGGGTCTTTAGGGGACTTAGTAACTATAAGGGGTTCCTTTAAAGGGATCTATAGGGGTTCTATAAGGGTGTAGGGTTTATAGGGTTTAGAGTACTTGGAGGGTCGGGGGACTTAGTAAGTAGGTAGTAAGTAGACCTATAAGTACCCTAAAAGGGACCCTAATTGGAGTCATGGAACTTATAAGTCCCTAAAATAACCAGTTACTAAGTCCCCCGACCCTCCAAGTAAGGACCCCCAAAAGGGACACTAATTTTGACAACCACTCATATGCTATAGGTGCACATTGACCCTCAATCCTGGGTTCACCCCCAAGGTGGAAGCCTTTTATGGCAACTTAACCCAAATGGCTTCACTTTAGCCCTAAACCCTAGATTCCTTTACCCTGAACCCTAAATTCCTTTACCTTGAACTCTACATCCCGTAACCCTAAACCCTAAGTTCCTTAACCCTGAACCCTAAATCCTCAACCCCAAAGCCTTCAATTCTTTAAGAAGAACCCAGCAGCCCCAAGGTGGAAGCCTTGCAGATCTCCCGGAAGGAACCCTGATAGAGCCCTTTAAAGGGAGCCTCTAGAGATCCCGTTAAAGGAACCCTTGAAAATCCCTTTAAAAGGCCTCTATACTACGAAGGTGGAAGCCTTGCTCATGGCGGCACCTTCCTTGGACTTCCCAGGCTGCAAGCAGGCCGGCGGGGTACAGTTGCGTACTTGGAGAGTTTCATTTGTAGTGATGTGTCGGTTTCCTTTAAGGGCTCTATATGGTTTAGGGTATAGGATTATGGGGTTCAGGGTTTAGGGGTGGTTATAAGTGGGGTAACTATCGTTGTAACCCATATTAGGGGACTTACAAACCCAATTATATCTACCCATGAAGCTCCAAGTTTTCCCCCGGAAAGCTGGAACAACAGGTCTTCGGGGCTTTAGGGGTTTAGGGTTTAGGGGTTCAGGGAACGTTTGTTTAGGATGAGTCGTGCTGAGACTCCTGAGATTCCTTGTATTATGTACCTTAATCAAGTCATGTTCCAGCTTTCTAGCTTCTACTATAGGTGGCCGCCTTTGACTTTCGGATGTTTCGGGCTCTGGGTGTTGAGGTTGAAGGTCAGTTTGGGTGTACGGGCGTTGCGTTTTGATCTTCGGGGGGTTGGGATTGGGAAGTGTTGGTCGTGATTCTGGGTTGAAGGCTGGTAGGCTCGATGTTGAGCTTCTTGGAGGTTCATGGGCAGTTCTATGGGTGGTTGTCAAAATTAGGGTTCCTTTTTGGGAACCCTAACTATTAGGTGCCGTACTATAATAAGGATCCCAAAAGGAACCATAATTTTGACAACCACCCCTAGAAGTGGCGCTGTAAGTTGGGTAACGTTACAACCCGTATTCAGGAACTTGTAGTAACCCTTCATTCACTGGGAGCATATATCATCGAATCCTGAAGGAAACCTTTGTCATGTGAAGGCACCTTCTCAAGCGGCCCTATTGTTACCAAAGTCCCAATATATACTGTAAAAGCATTTTTAACCATTCTGAATTTACTGCTCTTAGGAAGATTTCTTGTTTTTGTTCATATACAACCCAAGAGAACCTTACAACATATTATGGGCATTCTGGTTCCAATGGGGGGGTACAGGTGAAGCCCTAAACCCTAAACCCTAAACCCTAAACCTTAAACCCAAACCCTGGCCCGAATGGATTGGGATAGAAGCCCTTGCGAGGATCCCTAAGCCATATAAACCCCGACAGCCCGACTAGTCTTACCTTTGGTTAGTAGGGAATGGAAGAATGGTAGTAATAGTAGTCATAATTTACCCCATTCCTCCATTCCCTACTTGGAGGGTCGCGGGACTTAGTAACTAGCTATTTTAGGGACTTAGAAGTATCCTAACCCCAATTAGGACCCTAAACCCTGAACCCCATCGATCCCTTTAAGGAACCCTATAGATCCTTTAAGGAGCCCTTTAAAGGAGCCCTTACTAAGTCCCTTAAAGACCCTCCAAGTAACCAAAGGTAAGTATCCCTTTAAAGGAACCCTAAACCCCTATAGATCCCTTTAAAGGAACCTTATAGACCCCTTTAGAAGGGCCCTTCCATTCCCTAGTAAGTGTCTCTAGAGGCCTTCGGGTCCGGCTTCATGATCGCCTTGGTTCTTTGCGCCCGGCGCCTGGACGTTGGCCTGGGTTTAGGGTTTAGGGTTTAGTAAATACCTAGACCTCCCAAAGTAGGTAAAATAATGGCCCTAAACCTACAAAAGCCTATTATTCTACGTACTTTTGGGGTTCAGGTAATTACCAATACGTACTATTTCGGGGGGGGGGGGGCGGGGGCCTCCTTATTATAATTATAACTTTAACTATAGTATAATATCCCCCAAAACCCTATTGTAATCATGAAGGAGGCGCTTTTGCTCAAACGTTTTGTGCATTAGCCCTAAGTGCGGCCATTAGGTGGCCCACGTTTCCTTTCTACTTTGTTTGGCTGACGTTCTTCAACCTGTGGCTGATCCACTTGCTTCCACCTGGTAGCTGGCATCGGGATTACTTGGATTCAGTAGCTGTCTTTTGATAGACCTACTCCAACCTGGTGTGCAGCGTCAGTGCATGAGAGCAGCGGGGATCATTTTGTATAGTTTTCTTGCTGGGTGGGCTGTTCACCACGTCGGACAGTGGCAGGGCTCGACAAGTAGGGTCCCGCCTCAGAGAGACCTCAGCTCACAGAGCAGCGCGCAGATCAAGGACGCGCTCACGTACCAGGCTACGGACCTGGTTATCCGAAGGACAAGGGTCTTTTCCGGTGCCGGTTGCAGTCCTCTGGCAAGATTGCCAGAGATTGGAACAGCATCACTCGGGAAGTTCGCTGCCGCGAGAGTTTCGCATAGCAATGGCGGGCAAAGGTCAAGGAGGCATGCAAAGCTGGTGGTGCCAACCCTGCCGGCAGTGGCGGAAAGCTACAGCCCTATATTGCCCTCAGTGCGGCAATGGGGGCAGTGGGGCACAGAATGCAGGGTACGTGCACAACACATGGTGGCCAGACGGATGGCAGACAGACCATTGGAACCAAGGATACTCGCAGCAGATGCCCAAATCGCCAAGGCGCAAATCCCCTCGGAGGGCTCCTTGGATCACATCGGACAACGAAGGTGGAAAAGGCAAGGGCAAGGGCAAGGGAAAGAAAGGGCATCCAGGAACTGGCGACGGCCAGATCACTGCTGCGGTGCCTCGCAGCGATGCTCTACCCGCTCCGCCAGTGGGACAAATCACAGCTCCCAGCCAGCTGGCAGGAACCAAGCAGAGCACGGGTCAGGCGGTGCAAACGACTGCCGAAAGGCAGTTGGAACAACTCGTGGTCGCTTTGCAGCAATCCAATGCCGAATTGCCTCCAGGTGTTGCGGAGATTGTGTCGCATCACGCACAGTCTTCCACAAAGCAGGCTGCAAAAAGCTTACACAAGACAGTGACGATGCAGACCACAGCGCGAAGCAATCTGGAGCAATTACGGACGCAACGCAAGCAGTACGTTGCGGGCTGGACAACCTATCTGGCCTCTGTAACCAGCTTGTTAACGCAACAATTTCAAAAGCAGGAAGCCACGATGGTTCAGTTCGAAGAAGCGGAACGTGCGTGGATGGACCAGCTCAGCGAGGCCACAAGTCAGCTCGCGCGCTTGGCCAAGGAAGGTCAGGCTCAAGGCTCCATTGTCGAGGAGGTCGCAGGGTCATCTTCCGAGGACGACATGGATGCAGAGGAAAGTCATGCAGAACAACTCAAAGAACAGGAGGCAAGGGAACTTCATCGAGAGAAATGTCGCCAACTTCTGGAGACCTTGACGGCCGCACAGGAAAACTCAGAAGCCTTGTCCGCAGCTGCGGAAAGAAGCGGTTCGAGAACTCCCAGAAGAAGCAGCAGGGTGAAGGACAAGTCACAGGGAATGGATCCAACAGCTCCTGTGGCTCCAGTCCCTCCCTAAGCCCAGAGCCGAGCCTGCGGGGACCCTCTGGGCAGTGCCAACTTCAATGGGTTGGCGATCTGGTTTCCGTCTGCAGGGGATGGAACCATGATGTTTGTGGCGATCCTACGTTTGTTAGCCCGGCAGCTGCAGAATTCAGTGGTTTGCAGCTTCAGGCTGAATTAATATTTGAGAGCATGAGTGGCGAAGTTGTTACTTCGCTGTCGCCGCTTTGGCAGGACCCAAGAATTGAAGATGATGCGGTTGCCGCCTTGCAACGATGCGACAGGGGGTCAACAGGATGGATGCTGTGCGAAGCGCAGTGCAAAGCCCCAGCTTCAACCGGGCCGGCTACTTTTACTGTTGATCCTACACTGCCGTCTCCAGGCCAAGGAACAGATCAGCAGGCAGCACTCAAGCCAGCACTCAAGCATCAGTGCCTTGGTGTAGGGCATCCTGTGGTCATAGAGAAAAGCGGCAAACATGTGAGGTTTGATGTACAGCATGTCACACCCACTAGGCCGTCACTATGTACAGGACGTGGCAGTGACGGTATGCACAATAGCAACCCAGACTCTTATAGCATGTCTTCCATGACTGTTGCTCCTAGCGAGAGTGTACATTATGGCTCAATTGAGGTTTCACCTCACCCTCCCTCCGACAAATTACATCTGACGCAGGCCTCAGCAAATGCAGAAGCGGAGCATGACGCTTGTCTGGGGTCCAGTTGTACGGAGTGCTTGAAGCGCAGCTCGCGCGAGCAAAATGAAAGTTACAAGGAGCTCTCTCACTCACGGAGACAGTCGCTGAGCTTGAGTGATCACCTTGTTGCATATAGTCCAGGCAGTGTTGATGAGCTTGAATCGACCCTTCAGCACTGCAGCGGCCAATGGTTCGATTTTTGGCGTCATGATGTTCAATCACTGCGCCTGCCGTGGTGGTTGTTGTGCTCGAACGAATGGGGCCCTCCGCCCTTGGGAGTGCCTACCGCGTTTCGAGTCTATGTAGATGGGTCTGCGCGTGCAGGTAGGGCCGGCTACGGCCTGGTCTTGTTTGCTTGGCATGGTTGTGCTTGGTGTTACATCGGTTGGGCAGGCGGATGTGTCAACGACGGACGTTTTGCAACCAACAATGGAGCTGAAAGCATGGGCTTGCTCATGGCAGCATGTTGGGCATTGAGCGTTCCGCCTTGGGCTCGTGTGGAGTTGATTGTCGATTCTGAGTTCTCCCAAGGTTGCGCCTTGGGCACCATTGCCTTGAGCAGCAGTCACGACGATGATCCGGCGAAACTTGTGCGTAAAATTGTGCAAATCCATGAACATAAGCATACATTGCTTGAGATTTGCTGGACACGCGGTCATGCGGGTGATTTTGGCAATGAGCTTGCCGACAGGGTCGCGGACTTTTTCCAGCATGCCAGGGGCCCATGTTGCCAGGCTCCGCGAAGTGTGATTAGGCTGCTTGCTCATCCTCTACTTGATTGGGCTTGGGCCGCTGGCCGCAAAGTGCAAGGTTTGCCTGATCTTGCACAACTCGCAGAGGGGAATTACGAAGTCCGGGACTTTCTGCCACTTGAGTGCGCTGAAGCGGTATGTGCTGACGTGAACAAGCGGGTGCAAAGCCGTCGGGAGACAGTCAGGCTCCGTATTTGTACTGCCAATGTGTGTACGTTGAAGCATAAAGGTGCGATGCTACGCAAACAACTTCAGCGAGAGAAAGTGCACATTTTTGCGTTGCAAGAAACTCGATTGGCGAATGATGCGGAGTACTTGTTAGATGGTTGGTTAGTGGTGCAATCGGCGGCGCTCAAAGGCAAGGATGGATGTGCCTTTTGGGTGAATGCACCTGCTATCGCTGATGAGCTTGAGCTCTTTGGAGGGTTTGGTAATGAAGCTGTGACCGTGCTGCAAGCCAGGCCTGACTGGTTGGTTATCCGGCTGAAGGTTGCTGGGATCGACCTAGTTCTGATAACCTACCATGCGCCGCACTCGCTGCTGCCTGAAAGTGTGATACGTGCATGGTGGAGGCAAGCGCATCAGGACATCGTTAGAGTTGAGGGTGTTGCACCCTTGCTCTTCCTGGGCGATGCAAATGCTACTGTATCGAGGCACGACAGAGAAGTTGTCGGGTCGCTGGCGGAAGAGCGAGCCGACATCGCAGGAGAGTGTCTCGTGGGCATCTGCAGTCGATTTCGCTTAGCTTTGTTCAATACCTACCCCAGTCAAGATTTTCCAGAGTCGCTGCAAAAGACCTGGAAGCATAAGTGTATTGATTACGTTGCGGCCCCTTGCGCTTGGCATGGACTCGTTGAAGCTTGCAAGGTTGACGTTGATCTTTGCAACGCGCATGAGGATCATGAAGCTTTGTGCGTCCTTGCTTGTATACCTTGTGCGGGCTGTGTGAGTGTCACCGCAGAAACACGTTCCATCAGGAAGCATGGCAAGGCAACGGACTGGGAAAGCAACGTTCACCTTCATGCAGAAACATTGTTCGCCCGTGCGCGTCAACAACAAAAGAGGTGCCAAGTTGCTGTCCAACCCAGGAAGCCTTTTGTGTCAGAGAGATCATGGTTCTTGCTGCAGGCGAAGAAAAGGATTTCAAGAAGAGTTCTTGAGATACGGAGGGCTTCAGATAGAGAGACTTTGCGTATATGCTGGGCGGCCTTGCGTGGACGTGAGCGGAGTAATGAGCGTCGCGTAGGATGGGAAGTGCTTATGGTTCGGGCCGTCTTCACCTTACATACAACTCGCCGAGACCTTGTGAGGCAGCTTGCTGCGGACAAGCGAGAGTACATCAGCAATTTAGGCAATCAGGTCAAGGGCGAAGCAAATGCTGGTGCTACCAAGGAGATGTTTCGGGCCCTTAACTTTTTCCGACCAGCTGGAAAGAGGGTTAAGAAACCATTCAAGGCGTTGACACTTCTTCGGGACAAGTCCGGAGTCATGGCGAACTCTTTCGATGCCCAGCAGGAGCTCAAAGCCAAGCACTTCGGAGATATGGAAGCTGCTATTAGCATGGACCCGCAAAAAGTCGTAGAGGCGTTCAACTGCCAAACACACTCTCATGAATTTGAGGGAGCTCGGTACTGCCTGGAAGACCTTCCCAGCTTGTATCAGTTTGAGCAAGTCCTTAAACGGATGCCGAAGGGAAAGGCAGCTGGGCCATCCGGAGTTAAAAATGAGCATTGGCTCCAACAAGGCGCGCGTGCTGCTCGCATATGGTTCCCAGTCATCTTGAAGTCGCAAGTTAGATTGTGCGAACCTTTCAGGTTCTCAACCGGCCTGCTCTTCAATCTTTTCAAGGGACATGGGGCAGCATCGGAGATCGACAACCACAGGAGTATCTTTTTGATGGAGGGAATAGGCAAATGCAGCAGGAAGCTTTTGCGGCCTGAGCTGATTAGATTGATGGAAAAAGATGCTCCGGCTCTCTTTCAAGGGTGCAGGCCAGGTTCAAACAGCGCTGCGTTGACTCATTATGTTATCCTGTGGCAAAAAGTTTGCAGAATCAAAAAATGGAGTGCCGGACTTCTTTTCATGGACTTGCGGAGCGCTTACTATAGGGTATTGCGTTGCAGACTCCTGGGCTTTTCTTGGGACGACGATGCGATCGTCGACGTGCTTGTGCAGATGGGAGTCCCGCCGGAATTGTTTCATGACATCTTGGCATGGAGTCAGGGACATGTGCTCTTGAATGACATGAAACCGCACCACCAGAGAGTTGTGCGCTCATATTACATGATGACCTCTTTTATTCTCCCCGGGACGCGTAAGTTTCATTGCTCGCGCTCGGGAACGAGGCCGGGTGACGCTTTGGCCGACTGCCTGTTTGCCATAGTTTTTGCGGATGCGATGTTGTCGATCAGACAGGCCCTGGACGCCGATGGGCTGACCTTGAGTCCTGTTGCTTGTAGGGACCCCGAAAACCCAGTCTGGGCTGACGATTCAGTCGTTCCGATTGCCAGCCCCCGTGCTTGCGAGTTGGTTGACAGGACAGTGGCAACATGCAAGATTGTTCATTGTGAGTGTGCGCGCAGGGCTCTTCAGTTGAACTATAAGAAAGGCAAAACAGAAGTGCTCTTGAGTTTTGCTGGGAAAGCTTCAACAAAGCACAGGCGTGAAGCCTTCATGAAGCCAGAGCAGCTCTCCTTTCAGGCACATGGACAGCCTTTTCAGTTGAGGCAGGCTTGCAGGTATGTTCACCTTGGAACCAGTGTTGAAGACAATGGTACTGCTGGGCAGGACTTGAGGCGAAAGCTTGCAATTGCAGTTGGAGGTGTGCGTCCACTTGCCAAACCGGTCTTGCGGAGGGTTGATGTGGCGATCAAAGCACGTAGCAACATTCTGAGAGTCCTTGGTGTGAATGCGGCACATTTCAACTGTGCGGTGTGGGGGCCTCTGACGGAAAGGGAGTTGCACATCTGGATTCAGGGACATGATACAATGTACCGCATGTTGATGCCAGATGACAGGAGTTCCGGACGGCCAGCTTGCCCAACTATATATGAAGTTTGTGGCGCAGCCGGTCTTCCGACACCTCAAGCGTATCTCAGCATGCTCAGACTTAAACACGCCAGCAGGCTTGTTGAACAGGGCATTGATTCCGTTTGGTCGTTGCTTGAGGAAGAGGATGGTCGTTGCCGCAATTCGTGGCTCTCTGCTCTGCGTGAAGATATTAGGTGGTTGCAATATTGGCAGCCCAAGCTGGCAGGCATTGAACCTGCAAATGCCCAAGCAGATGAGCTCGCAGTGTGGTTTTCGGAACACAAGCTTGGTACGGCCATCAAACAGGCCATGCATGCACAAGCCAAGGCTCTTGCGGAATGGTTTCGCTTTCAGCTTCAGGCCCGTCAGAAGGGACTCCTCAGGGGCGTCCAAAAGGTGTGGCAAGATGTGTGTCAAAGTCCAGCGCTGACATGCTTTTGGTGCGACTTCTCGTGTTGCACGGGCGCTCAGCTGGCAGCGCATTTAGCAGCATGTCACGGGCATCGTAGCCCGTCAAGTTGGTTTGCAACCGGCACCGTTTGTAGAGGTTGTCTCAAACAGTATTGGACGAATAAGAGGCTTCGTGCGCATCTCGGCCGTGGCGGGCCCTGCCTGGCGCTCCTTGTCGCCACCTGCACTAGTCGCGAAGAATACGTGCAACCTCCTTGCGAGGATGAGCTTGTCTCCACCATCACTCCCTCAACTCTGCCCCAGCCCCACACGCAAGACTTGAATGATCTTGATAGGGCTCCTGTGCTCCGTCTTCCGGGCCCGTTGAGGATGCCAGGACCAGAAGCAGGTGCGTGCTTTGCTCAAGCCTTTGCTGAAGCTGACGAAGGTGAGAGACACGTTCTTGCCAAAAGCGGCCTTTCCTTTTTCGGAGGGAGGGATGAGTTGATGTGCAACTTTATTGACAGTCTGGTGCCAGTGCATTGGAGCAGAGGGCAGGCCAGGCGGATTCCTTTACAGATTGATGGACGTCTGCTCATTGCTAAGGCACAAGGCTGTTCTGCTTCTTTGTAGGACCTAATTATCGCATGTTTTTGTTTCTTCAGTGCCACTGCGCACTGACTGGCGCCGGATTCGGACTCTCAGTTCATGTCAATCATGAAGGCCCCTCTATCTTCAGGGGTGTCACGTGTCAAGAGCTTCTGATGTCGGCAGTACGTGGTTTAGGGCGTAAGGTTTGGGGTTTAAAACTTAGGGTTGAAATCTTAGGGTTTGGGGTTTAGGCGTTCGGGCATGCTTCGGGCTCAGATTCGGGCCATCTTCTATACTATGCAACAAGATGTGACACTTAGAGGCCTAGGGGATTCAGTAAGTAGGCTATAAGCAGAATGATAAGTATCCTAAATGGAGCTACCCCTATGATAAATAGCCCTACGCATCACCGACTTACTAAGTCCGCTGGGGGACCGGGAGGTCGCTTTTTTCTTGGACCAGCCCTTCAACTTGGTTTAGGGTTTAGGGGTTTGGGTTGTGGGGCTTAGGGTTGAGGGGTTTGGGGTTTAGGGTTTAAACCTGACAAAACTGAGCCCCTAAACCCTGATAATGTAGGAACCAGATTAAAAAAACACAAACCGGGCCTATAACACCAAAACAGTAGGGTTCAAAAAGAAAACCCTTGTCAAGGCCCAAGGTTTCTAAACCAGGTTCCTGCATTAACCCTGAACCTCGGGCTTTGGGCCAACCTTGTGGGCTGGACAGTAATCAGGGTTCCTTTAAGGGGATCTATAGGAAGTCTATAAGGGTATAGGGTTTAGAGTTTAGAGTATAACCCAATAAAGTTGGAAACCGGATTAAGGCCAAATAGTGCTGAGATTCCCCATACATTATACTCTTAAGGATTGAGGCTATTGGATTTCCAACTTTTTGGCTTCTACTGTAGGGTTGAGGGTTTAGGTTTAGTTTTGGGGTCTGGAACGTACGGTTGGCCAAAGCACCTAAACTTCGAAGCCGTAAGCCCCAAATTCCTAAGCCCTACTTAGAACCCTACACCCAAAGCCCTGAACCCTGCAATCCCCTACATCCCCTGCCAGCAACAGGTCTGGGGAGGCTCCACCTTTGTCACCAAGCTTGGGATCTTCTTCGTGCTCATCGTCTTTGTCTCAGGATAAAGCCAGCAGGGTTTTTAGGGCAAGCTTAAGGCTGAGGGGATGAGAGTTTCAGAAGATTCTGAGTTAAGGTATCCTTGCAATTTTCGAACTTGCCCGGCTTCTAATGCATCCTCTGAATACTGGGATCCTTGCTGCAAGCGCCCTTGATTTGGAAATCGCCTTTCTGAACATCGAAAGTTTTCCTAGGGTCCCAGCTAGGCTTATTCTTGCTGGTGTGCTTGAAAGGAATGTGTGTTTTTCTTGAGAGGGAAGAGATGAGGATGGTGCGATTCCGACAGCACTTTGCTCAAGGGCCAAGCTGAGTAAGCCCATGGTAACGAAGCATGTTGTCACAGCCTTGTGTCACATCGCGACCTTGAAACTGTTGTGGTTGACCTCTGAAATAGCTGTGGTTGAGGTTCACAGGGTCACAGTGCCTGTGTTTCCGAGCTCTTCTCATAGAACTGTCCCAAAAGTCATTCATTCCATGGGTTCCGAAGGTTCCGAAACGTTTGCTTCTTTCCTGCATAATTCGATTTGTCCTCTGCATTGCTCAAGTTGTAAAAGAGTCCTTTTAAGAGACTCTCCCAGCTCCGGGTTGCAAGACGGTTTAGGGTTTAGGATTTAGGGTTTAGGGTTTAGGGCCAGGTGTCGCGCATAAATTTGAGAAGGGTGAAGGGTGGGTTCAGGCGATATGAGAGTTCCGAAAACTAGGGGTACCTTATTTGGGGTCCTTATAATAAGGATCCTACTATTTAGGGCACTATATTCGGGTCCCCTAATTTCGGAAACTCCCACAGGTTCCTTTGTGCGGGTTTCATTTTGTTCTCGTTGGTCTGCTTCACTTGGAAGCAGTAGCCTCAAAACTGTCTTGTAGCCGCTTGGTCTTCCCTTCCATGCTCCTTAGGGTTTAGGGTTTATAGGTTTTAGCCCTAAACCCAACCCTAAATCTGTTTCTCGGGGGCCTTTCTAGGGTCTCGGCTGGGACGGTGAATCGGCTGTGGAGCTTGCTGGGCATGCAGAGCCTCAGCGCGACATGCTAAGCCCGAAATCAAAGCCAAAACTCCGAAGACCTTCATATCTTAAATTCTTCAGTCCCAGTTTAAGTTTTTTTAATGTTAACCCTAAACCCTAAATCGCAGAACTTTACGGGGCGTCCAACCGCAAGACTTCATGCAGTTGGAGAAAAGCCCAAGGACAAGCACCCTTAGACTCTAAACACGTTGTAAACCAAAAGCCCACATGCAAGACACTGAGCTGTCCTCACAAAGCGAGGTGTTCTACACCATGGCTTCGTACTACGCCGGCCTCATCATGGCGCCTTTCACTGCTGTGGCCTCAGGTCGATGGTTCCGAGTACCCCTGAATGACGGAACATACCTTAAACCATAATTCGCAGGCACCTATGCTTATTTAAGGTATATTCCGTCAATAAGGAGTATTGGGCTCTCTGGGTTCACTACAGACTACAGAATGCTATTCCTTGGTGTTCTGCTTTGCAACTTTGTGATTTCATATAACCCCCGCATGCCCTGTATGGAGGCCCCTACATTGGGCGCAACGGGATTTCTGGTGTCAGACGTATGAGGCGCAGGCGAGGCAATAGAGCTAGGGTTTAGGGATGTTAAGGGGCTTCCCGGGGTGAGGCTGAGCGATGTAGTCTGCTGATGTAAAAGTTCAGTTCGGAGCCCGAAACCTCTTCTTAAAGCTTCGCTTGTTGTCTGAACAACCAGCCTTGTCCTAAAAAAGGGTACATTGCCTTGGGCGAACCACCTGAGTCTGCTCCGACAATCAGAAATCTCCACAGTAGCAGTCCCATCCCCGGGCAGGACTTAGGACGTCTTCTCGATTCCTTGGGTGCCAACCCCGACTCCTGTCATAAGCTTACGCAGCTCCCATCTACATGTCTTTTGTTAAGTTTTACCCCACCCCAAGCCCCTACACACTTGGCCCTTTAGACACTCACCGCTAAGCTAGCTAGGTAGCCCTTGAATTTCTTCTTGGCCCCAAATCCTCAGCCCGACCATAATGTTAGCCTTAATCCTCAGCCCTGTTAGCCCCAATCCTCACCCCGAAACCCAAATGTGAGCACTGATCCTCAGCCCGAAACCATAATGTCCTAAACTGGGCTTCGGAGTACCATACTTCAACATTTTCTCTTGAAGGAACCATCATGAAATAAAGGTTTATACTTTTTTCTCCCTGGTTACTTTAACGCCCAGTAAATCTTCAAAGAATGTCCCGTTCTGAGGAAGTGGCGATGGCCAACCCTTGGGTGACCGGCCTCAGCCCGATTCCCAGATCTTCCCAAAGCCTAGCCTACTTGTCGGGTATCATGGGGAACTGAAGGTTAACCTCTTTGGCTATATAGGGGTTATATAGGCACTATACTACTAGGAAAGGGGCTGGGCCTTTCGAGTAGCTACGAAGCCCTGGTTTTCGATGTTTTAGGGTTTTTAGAGTTGATGGCTTGGGGTTTCGTGGTGGAGGCGTTGGATAAACCCTAAACCCCTAAACCCTAAACCGTTTTAGGACTTCGGGCTCAGGGTCCGAGCAACACATGAAGCCCAAATCTCAAACCCTAACACCCGAAGCCCCCGCTGCCTACTAGGAGGGTCGGGGGACTGAGTAACTGGTTATTTTAGGGACTTATAAGTACCATAACCCCAGTTAGGGTCCCTTTTAGTCCCTTTTAGGATACTTATAAGTCTACCTACTACCTACTTACTAAGTCCCCCGACTCCAAGTACACCCCAAGCCCGTACCGCCTAAAGCCACACTCTAAACTTATTCTGAACCCTGAACCTCTGAACCATTAAACATGACTGCCTCCTCCTATTGCCAGGTGGTTCTTTCGCTAGTTGAACGGCCCAGCGCCTTACAGGGAACCCTTGCGGTTTTGGGATCCCTAAACCCCCAAACCCCTAAACCCCTAAACCCCTATAAACCCTAAACCCGAACCCGGCAAGAGAAGCCCTTCTGCCTGACCGGTTTGGGTTTCGAGATGTTTCGGGTGTGGAGTTCAGGGTTGGGGGGGGGTTACCTGCAACCACAACAACCTATCTTTCCAGGGTTCCTTATCAATGTGTTCAGGTACCTGGAGGTTCATGGGTAGTAATAAGTGGAGTTATAAGTCCCCGAATATGGGTTATAAGAACAATAACCCTACATATATAACCCCACTTATAACTACCCATGAACCCTAAACCCTGTACCCTGTACCCTTATAGAATCCCTATAGTTCCCTTTATAAGGGAACCCTTTTCAAAGGGACCGTGAAAAGTGTACTTGGAGGGTCGGGGGACTTAGTAACTGGTTATTGAACGGAGTAATAAGTGCCATAACCCCAATTAGGGTCCCTTTTAGGGTACTTATACGTCTACTTCCTACCTACTTACTAAGTCCCCTAAAGACCCTCCAAGTAGGGCTCGGGCCGAGGCTTGGAGACCTTCAACAAGAATTGGCTGCCCCACTACCACTCAGAGACGAACTTTGGCGTCGGGGCCTTGCTTGGAGTTAGTAAGGGCTCCTTTAAAGGGGATTATAAGGGTTTCCTTTAAAGGGCTCTGTAGGGGTAGTATAGGGTTTAGGGTTTAGGATTCAATCGCTTTAATTCCGGAGCCCTTGAGCCTGGGACAGCAATTCGATGCCGCTTTGACTCTGACAGCATCGATGCCATTACTTCGAGGGTCGAGGGACTTAGTAAGTAGGTGCGAGGTAGACTTATAAGTTCCCTAAAAGGGACCTAACTGGGGTTATGGCACTTATAAGTCCCTAAAGTAACCAGCTACTAAGTCCCCCGACCCTCCAAGTAGGACTCACCTGGACCCTCAATGACCTGCCTTTTTATGGACTTATTTTAGGAAATCACAATGGGGAATTGCAAAAAGGTAGGTACTTTAGGGTCCAGGAAATTCCTTTTAAGGGAGGTTTGTGGTTTTGGGTTTAGGGTTAAGCTTGGACTTCTGGGGTTAAAGAGTGTATTGACTGAACCTCATTTGCGAGGTTTAGGGAAGATTGGAAAGTTTAGTGTTTTGATTGAGTTTCAAGCGTGAGGGTTTAGGAAATCTTTTGTTCCGCGCTCGTGCTTCTCGACTGCGATGTTTAAGCATTGAGTTTAGGATGGGACTATTTTTTCGACATTCAGCGATGTTGATGGTCCTGAAATTCCCCATGCATAGACATAACCCTGCTGCTTCGCAACGGCGCACGTCGGTAGGTCCTCCACAGCCCTTCTCCCCCAAGGGAACCTCAAACTATACTTCCATGAAAGTCATGCAACCCACGTAGAATCGCAGCTGGTGTCTGAACGAAAAGAAGGATTTGGGCTTTAAGCAAAAATTAGGTTGTAGTTTTAAGGCCCAAACAACCCTGTAGACTTTACATGTTTAAAATCAAAGGTAAAACCCACGCCTCAAGACCCTTGACCCTTAACCCCGAGGAAAAAGATGCTAACAACACAAAAAGCAAGCTAACCCTCAGCCCTAAGAGCCTCCTGGCGTAGGGTTAGAAGTTCTTTAATCTTGGTTGTGCTTATAACTATTGCAGGGCTTAGGGTTTAAGGGATTTAGCGGTTTAGGGTGGTTATAAGTAGGGTTATAAGTCCCTGAATATGGGTTATAAGTAGAGTTACCCTACTTAGGCCCCTTTTAGAACTACCCACTAGCCTCCAAATGGGCCAGGTCGTGCTCAGCGTGTTCTTCCCGTGCTTCACTGGCATCCTAAGTGGAGCGAACCGAGCCGACATCCTCCGGGACGGGATTTTGGGGTTTAGTGCTTAGGGTTTGATCTGTTCTAGGCCTTCAGGGTACAGGGTAGCATTTGCTCCGATAGCTCAGCAATTTCGAGTTTCTTCTTGCTCTCGATGCGACGGAACCTGAGAGAGACAGAGCAAGTTAGCGCGAGCGAAGGATAGAGAGAGAGAGAGAGATAGCGAACAACACGTGTGAAAGACAGAAGGACGAAGTTCGGACGAAGGAACATACAAAGAAACATCAAGCGGCATATCCAAACAAAGGGCGAGAGAGAGAGAGAGAGACAGAGCTAGAGGCCCCCGCGCAAACAGAGACACATACACACATGCACAGGTAGAGACAGCGGTTTGTAAACGCACATATAAATATGTATGCATATAACATATACATATATATATATATATATATATATATATGTACACACTTGCAAATACATACACGCACTTATATATATATATATATATATGTATATATATATATATATATATATATATATATATATACACATATATACATATATATATATATATATATATAGAGAGATATTATATATTTATATATATATATATATATATACACATATAACCGTATTTGTATTATATATGTAATACGTGTGCGTACACGCAGGACTTCATTGCTGTTGCTTATTCTCGAAGTTGTAGCTCCTCCACGAAACATGCAAACATCGCATGATACTCATACACCGTGGCTTTCAGGATTGTGAATTGTTTATACAACCCTTATACAGCCCTGAAAAACTTTAGAAGAACCTAAAACCGAAACCACCCTTGATGGAACTTTCCAGAATCCTTGTACGGCCCTTTTAATCTATGGCAGCTGATAACTGTTGAAGCCCGGCAGGACCCACCGAAGAACATCAAGGACAGGTGTAGGCTTAGGGGTTTACGGTTTATGGGATTCATATATGGCTTTGGACCGCCTCCAACTTAAAGGGGGCGTGCAGTTTTCGATTCGAGCCGTGCCTGAAGGGGTTCTACTTGGAGGTTCGTGGGTGATCAGTTAGAAGTTAGATAAGAGTCTGCTACAATGGGTATATGTAACATTGGTTACTTTACTTAGAACCCCACCTAAACATGCCCCTGAACCTCCAAGTAGACCATGAACCCTAAGCCCTAGAGAACCGTTGAAGGAACCCTTTGATACAGCAAGAACCCTTACTTCATATCATGAAGGCGCCTTTTCTTATCGAAACCCATGCAGCTTCAAGTGATGGCCGCTGGCATTCCTCGAGTCCCGGCTCGTCCAGCCTAGCCTCATGCCACGAGTCCTACGTGGATGAAGCGCTTTGGCGCTTTAGGGCTTATGGGTTTAGCGAAAGGGTTGAGGGTTTTTTGCTTGTAGAGCATGCGCGCCCCCCCCCCCCTCCCGATGCGTTCACATGCTCGGGAGGCTACCGTTTCCAATGTTCAACTGAATTAAAACAAGTCGCAACTTCTTCCATGGCCCGGAGCAAGGCTTCGAGGCACGTTGGGTGGTTTTCAAAATGATGGTCCCTGTGGGTCCCTAGTATAGTACGGCACCTAAAATTGAGGGTACCCAAAAAGGGACCATAATTCTGACAACCACCGACATGTTTGAGCACGTGTATGTTGGGGTGTGGGTCCCTTCGCAGACGTGTCGGCATTCGGGGGTTGATGTGTGGCTGGTTTTTGGTGTATGGCCTTCGGAACATCATTCCAGAAGCTTCCCAGAGGAGGCGCGTGCCAATGCTAGGATTGCGGCTGAGTGAGTAGACGCAGTCCTCATATGAGCACGTGAGAGCAAGGTCTGCGGCGGTCTTGAGTACCTGGAATATAGCACCGGAGTACTCGCAAGCTGTCAGACACAGACCTCCAAATCTCTCAACCCATCTCAACTCTGAACTCCACGCGTCTCTGTAAACCGCAATTCCTATCTGCAGCAGGACGGCACCTTCGGGGCGATCATCTTCAGTTTCTTCATGTACTCGCCTGTGCCTGAGAATACCTCCACAGCTTCCTGTACATGTCTACATGCATATAGCTATATTGATATATTGGAAGCTACATAATATACACATATTAGTTTTATTATTGTTATTACTGTGATTATATATATATATATATACACACGTATATCGCCTTTTGCTTTGGGAGAACAGCTTCGGGAGCACTGGTCTTCGTCTTTTCTGGCAGGACGCATTGTAGTTAGTTGGATCATCCAGTCATTTGCCCAGCGTCCCAAAATGAAAGTAAAAGCACTGGGCTTTGGAGTACCATACTTACATGCTTTTTGGGGACCTGGTGCTTAAAGGCAACTATTATGAACTAAAAGTCTATACTTTTTTCTCCTGGTTACTTTCAAAGCTGAGAACAACGTAGCCAGAAGCAAAGGCAATGGAGACTGTAGGCATTGGCACAGGCAATTGATTTTCTGCTCGTACCAGCCAGACGCCGTCCTCTCCCACTCACAAACTTGCTACAGCCCCAAAAGCCCCAGTAAAAATCCCTAACTTATGGTATAAGGTACCACCAAAGATCTTTTCTGGCCTGCGAGGCCCTTATACCCAGCGACTCCAGTACCCCTTAATTAAGGAATGTGCCTTGCATCATAATATAGGGTTCCCATCAAAATTTAAGGCTTAATTAAGGGGTATTGGCGTCTCCTAAACCCTAAACCTTGTATAGATCCCTTGTAGATCTCGAAACTCCAAACCCTGAACCCCTCTCAAAGGAACGCTAGGTATATTCCTTAAATTAAGGGGTATTGGAGACTCTGGGTTACAAGCCCTAAACCCTTACAACTGCCCTAACTTCCGAGAACCCAGGTCCTTCTTCATTCTCTGGGGCTGTGTGGCCGACTACCGCTACCTGCAGGGCAAGGACTCTTAGTGCTTTGGGGTTTGGGATTTAGGGTTTAGGGTTTAATTTAGGGTTTAGGATTCAGTGTTTAGCGTTTCCGTCTTTCTCTTCGGCGGAATCGGGCTTTGGGAGTATTGCTACTTGTGTTTTTCACGTGTGGTGCAGGCTCGAGGCTTAAGCCTTGTTTTGCCTAGTTTTGGAGGTTTTGGGTTGTGTTTCGGCTTGGTGGATTTGGAGTTGGGGTTTCTTTTCAATTTGGAGAACCCTTGCTAAACCCCCCTCAACCCTAAACGCTAAACTCTAAATCCGTTTTCGTGCGGCCAGGAGTACTATGCCGGAGAGCCGCACCTCATCTGCAAAAGGTGAAGCCGCGAGTTCTATCGGCTAGCGGGACTCGGATACAGGCCATCAGTTGCAGAAATGTGAACCTAATGAGAGCCCCTGGAAAAAGGCAGATACTCTTTCTTGTGCTTCTGGGCAAGAGACCCCCCGCACACCCAATCTTTGCCTGAGTTTCATGCGGCCATGTAAAGCGGTGGTACACAAGCTTGGTGGCTGAAGGCAGTTCAGCTATGCATGCATGTTTCATGCAGGGCTTAGGGGGTTAGTTTAGGGTTTAGGGCCTTTGGGGAGTAGGCTACAGGTTTGAAGGATCAGGGTTAGGGGTTTACGGTGTGAGGTTTAAGTTTTGCAGAGTCTGCAGCTGTAGAGGTGTAAACTTACGTGTCACCCAACTTTGCTACACAGGGCGTGTCAACGGAAATCTTGACCCCAAGCCCCGATTGTCCGAACTTTGGCTTTTAATGTTGTTGCTACTGGGGTTATGATCACAGCTATTATAAGCGTTATAACTGTGATAATTTATTGTTGCTATTGCTATTGCTATTGCTATTGCTCTTACTGTTATATTGTTACTATTAGCAGTGCGTTTTGTTATAATTAATGTTAGATCTGCGACGAGGTCCTGTCCATCCCGGTTTGGGTCATATAAGGTCGGGCTTCGCGTTTTCGTATGCTTCGTCTACAGTTGTACTTCTCCTGATTGCATTCAAAACTAGTTGGAGTTTCATGGGCAGTTATAAGTAGGGCAGCTGTAGATATAACCGATATCAAGGGACTTAACTCCCCACTTATAACTATCGATGAACCTCCAAGTATTACTGCTAATTAATGTTGTTGTGCTTGTAATTGTTATTCAACCCCCAGGCTGTACTGCAATAGGAAACTGTGAAGCCAACTGAAGTTTGGGAGTTTCCGAAGAGAGGGGACCCTGTGATAGTGCCCCAAATAATAGGATCCTAATAAGAAGGACCCCAAAATAAGGCACCCCTAATTTCGGAAAGTCAGTTTTTTGGAGCCTTCCGCACCAGATGTCGAATCCTGAGGAGCTCGGACTACGGCGGACACCACCGTCGCCTGGCCGGTGGATCTGCTGGAGCGCATCTGGTGGAGGAGAACTTACAGATTTCTTGGGTACGGCCCCCACTCAGGAATAGTTGAATAACATTCATATTATTATATACATATATATATATAAGGACCTTAATAGTAGCCCTAGTATAGACTCTTACTGTATGGGGCAGTACCTAACAGATTTCGGCCGTTAGAGCAGTGTGACGACGATGTCAAGTCTGATTTCGTGAGGGTGTGAGAGTGTCAAAACATCGCGTCACATATCGGAGGGGAGCAGGGAGAGAGCGGAGTTCGACAGTCGCAAGACTCCTCCTGTTCCGTGTTTTGCCTCAACCACTCTGCGGTACACCTTACCTCATAGCTGAAACAGGAGTTCGTATTCGTATTGGTGTGACGCCAACCTGTGCTTACATAGCTGAAACAGGAACAATTGCTCTAAAACCTGGACTCCCTCACTTCAGCATTTCGGCAAGCTCGGAATACTATTGTTGTGACCTGATAATTCGCAGCGTCTTTCCCTTGGTTGCGGCAGTTTCGGCTCATGCAACCAGCGCAATGCTGCTGCCACCGCCGCTACCCCCACCACCATTATGAAAACAACCAGTTCCACCACTGCCCCCACCATGACTTTCACTTCGATTTCTTGGACGATGAAGGCCAATAATGGTAGGGATATCCCCATAAAATGCTCATGCTTATGTGCTTTTGGGGGTCCCTATAAGAGTCAAGAGGTAAAGTCTTCTCAGCCTGTTCCGATCTCAACCACTACGCTCTAAGCCGCAGATCTCCAATTCCGGGGCCCTACTTAAAGGATCATGGGACGTAGTAACTAGGGTTATCATTAGGGTAACTATATTTATAACCCCAATTAAGGTACTTATAACCTTATTTACTAAGTCCCATGATCCTCCAAGTAGAGCCTGGAGCAACAATTCGATGCTGCTCTGACTCTGACAGCATCCATGCCATTATGGAAGTTTCCGAAATTTAGGGGAACCTTATCTTGGTTGTCCTTATAGTAAGGTTCCTACTATGTAGGGTACTATATTAGGGTCCGCTGTTTTCGGAAACCCCCTTATGCAATGCCCCCTATACTGAAACGTATAGTCTGCGCCTTAGACCCTGAATGCCCGAACCGATTGCTGCGCAGGAGATCGTGTGGAACCCTTTCCCACACTCTGCACAGATTGGCATCATCATTTCGTCACTGAGCCAGGCACCGGACTATGATGTTAACATGCTTCGATGTGGCAAGCGTTGTGACTAATTACCTCCGCGAGGAGGAGGAGGAGCAGGAGGACGACGACTAGGATGATGATGATGCTGCTGGTGTGGTGAGCATCATCGTTGCGACGTTACGATGCTGACGTTGAATCTCCTTACTATGTAAGTAATTAATGATTACCACAACAGTTTTCGACTTTGACGACGACCGTGCCTACTTTTCGCGACCGCTACTTGAATCAACCAATGTCTGCCTCCCCACTGGTCGACTTTCATAGAGGTTTCAGCTTCAGAAAACCCTGTCCTTCCAGTTTTATCCCGACAGCACTACGGAGGGCTTCAGAAAACTAAGACAAATATATACCCTAAGGTATGCTTATATACATATATATATATATATACAAACATATATATATATGCTCACCCCCCCCCCATGACAGACCGTCGTGGGGAAGGGGAAGGGTGGCGTGCGTCCCCAGGCAGGATCTGTCAACGGATAGGCGACAGACACTTCTCCCAAACTCAATTCCAAAATGTTCTTTTAGATGGTTTGCATTTTTTGGAAATTTCTTCACACGCATGCAGCGCTCCTAGTCCCAATCTTAATCTCAATTCTGCTCTTCGTACCACTATTACTGTTTGTAGATCTTAATTCTTGTATCAGTGTTAGCATTAGTATTAGTTTTGTGGTAGTATTGATATTAGGATGTTTAGTATGAGTAATAGTATTCGAATTAGTATTACTCTTAGTATTAGCATTAAGTATGTGTATTGATGTTAATAGTAGTAGTCGTCGTACTAGCAATAGTTGTCGCACAGCAGTAGTAGTGGTAGCATTAGTATTGGTATTTGTATTAGTATTAGAATGAGTATTAGTATTAGTATTAGTGACTAGTATGAGTATCAGTATTAGTTTTAGTATTAAGTATGTGTACTAGTAGTAGTAGTAGTAGTAGTAGTAGTAGTAGTAGTAGTCGTAGTAGTAGCAGTAGTAGTAGCAGCAGTAGTGGTGACATTAGTATTGGTATGAGTATGAGTATTAGAATTAGTAGCTAGTATTAGTACTAGTATTAGTGTTTGGATTAATATGTATTGTTCTTGGTTCTATTCTTAGTACTGCTGTCATTGTTTGTAGTAGTCCTAATCCTGGTATCAGTGTTCATATGAGTAATAGTTTTGTGGTAGTATTGATATTAGGATGGGTATTGTTTTAGTACTAGTATTGGTATTGGTATTTAGTATTAGTATTAGCATCAGTATTAGTATTAGTATTGAATAAAAGTATACATATCAATAATAGTAAATATGAACTCGTGATTATGTTCGTGCTGGTGTTAGTGCCAGTGTCGATGTCAATGTCAGTAATAGTACTCGTGTTAGTATTAGTATCAGTCTGAATGCTGGTTTTAGTATCTGTTTATTATTCACAGAAGTGCTGGTATTAGTATCAGTAATAGAAATAGTTTTGATATGTGAATATACTGATTGATTCGTACATTTTGAGCTTAATATAATAATACAGTAATGTATTCGAACAATAGTATATTTGCAGAGTTGAAGATTGCGCGAATATATTAGTACGTTGGTGCATGAGTACATTAGTATATTGGTGTATCATGATATTCGTATGTTAACGTAGTAGTATATTAGTATATTATTATAGTGGTCTATTACTACATTTACTATATTCGTATTTTCCCTAATAGCTTATAGGTATATCAATATGTTGGCATAATGGCATGTGAACATGTCAGTGTACTTGCCTTTTACAGTATTCGTATATTAGTACACTAGCATATTTAGTGATAATTAGTGTTGATGCCAGTGCCAATGTCGATGTCAGTTTTAATCAGTCTTAATGATGAATTTAACATCAGTGTAATATTCGCGGACGTGCTAGTATGCGTATCAATACTATAATTAGTTTTGATATATTAGTATACTGATAGATTATATAAACAGCTTAGTATACCAACACATTATAATGTATTCGAACAGTAATATGTTTGTATACCTGCATGTTTGTATGCTCTTAGTATATTAATGCATGCGTACGTTCGTGCATGAGTACATTAGTATATTGGTGTGCTATTATCTTCGATTATTAACATATTAGTGTATGAGTATCCTGGTATGCTACTTCATTTATCATATTCGTATATTATCTAACAACTTTTTTGGTATATCCATATGTTAGTATACCATTGCCATGTGTCAGTGTACTTGCATATTACAGTATTCGTGTCTTAGCAAGTTAGCATATCAATACAGTATAATCAGACGTTAACAAGTAGTATATTGTCACGTTGGAAACTGGGTATATGACAAATTAAATACGAATATACTACGTTAGTACACGAATGCATTGATATATTTGCTTTTCAGATAGTGGTATGTATATCTGCGGACATTAATATACGCAGGTGTCTGTTAGTATTGGCATTAATATCAATATGAATATGACTATTGGTAGGCGTAGGAGTATTAATGTTAATAATAGAATTAGTAATGTGCATATTCGAAATGAAAGCATTAATATACATGTCAACGTTAGTGTTAAAAGCACTACACAGTAATCTTACTTGAGTCATATATAGAGCAGATTCCAGCATTTCCAAAATTTCCCAAATTCTCTCCCCTAACTTTCCGGATTTCCAAAATTTCCAAAATTTCCAACATTTCTAAAATTTCCAAAATTTCCAAAATTTCCAAACTTTCCAAAATTTCCAAAATTTCCAAAAAGTCCGCCCTTATGTTTTGGAAAAATCCTGTCGACTAGGTCGGGAAATTTTGGAAATTTTGGAAATCTGGAAAGTTAGGGGAGAGAATTTTGGAAATTTTGGAAATGCTGGAATCTGCTCTATATATGACTCAAGTAAGATTACTGTGTAGTGCTTACTATGTAGTGTGTCAGCACAACCCTCATCCATACACGTGTGCTCTGTAATTCCTTTCTTGGTAGGACACCCGCGCGCCTTATCGTGCTGCTTTCTGGTCTCAGTCTTTTGGTGGTTCCAGGGATACGTTCGGAGGGCTCAAACTCGATACTCCGGAAAAAGCACGAACACGCCGGTGGGAGCGATGTTTTAAAGGGGATGGTCTGTCATGGGGGGGGGGGGTGACCATATATATATATATATATATATATCAATAAACCATATTGTATTATGATACGTTATATTTTACTATTTTATTTTATATTATCTTTATTTTCATATTATATTATATCATATTATATCATATTATATTATATTTTAATATTATATATATGTATATATATATATATATATCATATCATATCATATCATATATACATATACATATATACATATACATATGTAAACCCATGTCCTCTGTTAGTTGGACCCTCATCATCAGGAAGCTGTACACCTCCACTTTCGTACGTAGGTCCATGGAAGTGTAGGGGGTTTCACAAGGTTTTGGAGTTTCCAGAGCAAGCCCACTGCTCTCACCGGGATTGACGCGGTGTTCCAAAACACTGGCATTTTGAATGAAGCTCCCGACAGCAACAACCTCCACGACTCTGAAAAGTCAGTGGGCCATGTTACTCTTTTCGACAAGTCTTGAACGACGTCAAAATATTGGATTCAGGATGCTTCATCTTGACGACCTATAGGCCTGTGACTCTTGTTAACCCTTAATGCTTGACGCTGAAAGCTTTAGGTCCTAGAATCCCGCAGCGCGAAACCTGAAGCTTCAACACTAACTAAGTTTAGGGTGTTTAGGGTTTAGGTTTTTTTTTGGGATTAGGGTTTTGAGGGTTTTGGATTTTTAGGGTTTAGGGTTTTTAGGGTTTTTAGGGTTTAGGGTTTAGGGTTTATCCAAAACAGCAAATAACGCTAAAACCCTGCGTCATAAATCTCGCGTACAGAAATGGCGGACAGGCACTCCAGTGTCTCATCGTGGCGCCGCGGCTGCTTCAAAACATCGCCAGGGTCCGGCACCCAGTGCGGTTTTGCTGTTATAAGTGGAGTAAAAAGCAGGGTGGCTACAATTAGGACCCATATTAGGGGTCTTATGACTGCATGTGTAATTACATGCATCCCAAAGTAGCCAACAATAATTGTAAGATACAACTGTCCCGGGTCTAGGTGGGGTTGAACAGTTTAGTTCAGCCAAAACGACGTTTGGGGTTTGGGCTATCCTAAACTTCTATACATCTTTTGGAGCTCCTCTGCACATATTTCTGCACTTCAACCTATGAAGCCTATACGCCCACAGCTGAAAACTGGTCCAGGGCTTAGGGGTTTAGATTCGGTTTAGGGTTTACGGTTTGCCCTGAACCCTACTCCCTGAATCCCTCATGATGTAGGATGTTGGTAGTCTTCCGCTTTCGGCATAAGGCGAACAACAAGCGGGAGTTGTCTCGGGTCGAGATTATGCTACTCTTCGAAGGGTTATTATTATCAGGATTCTACCAGGGTTATGTACTATCAGGCTTTAAGGCGGGCCCTTGATAATTAGAATGCGGCTTTGGGGTGTCATGCTAGCTTTGCTAGTATATCAACTTTTGAACTCCCCTTACGGAATATAGCTAGTTAATTATGTTGAGGAACTAACCATCAGTAACTTTACGGTATTATTACTTGCGAGCCCTGTATGTATATATATATATATATGTATATATATATATATGTATGTATGTATGTATGCATGCATGTGTGTATATATATATATATATATGTGTATATACATATGTATATATTCAGGGAGCTCAAGTTTCTTTGAACGACCGCCCATGATCCATGAGTGCTTAGCTTTTTCGTCGGGTGTCTAAAGGCTCTAGTGACAGCCCCAAACACGAGGCACTAGGGGGGTTGCCCATATTCTTGATATCGAGTTTTTATCATGTTCCGTTACAATATAACATAATATACTGTATCCCATACTATAGAAATTTGGTTGCATTCTTGTGATAGCACATACTGTGTTGTACCAGCTTCAGTTTGTCAGTTGTGCATGGCAGGGCCCATCCAGAAATTTTACATAAGTTTCTGATTCAGCCGGAGCTGGCTCAAGAGCCTTTCCCCAATCCCGATCTTGCTGCGCCTGAGCATGATGCTCCGCCTTGCTCTTTCTGGGGGTGTGCTGGCGGCGGTTGTGCTTCTCCACGGTTGTTCAGAGGAAGAGGTCTCATACCTCGCCTGCGCTTCCTACAGCAAGAATGGCGCCGGCAATGTCACCGACTACGCCTCATGCGCTGCCGCCTGCGACAAAGGAGAAGGTCTGCAGGAGACTTATGGCACCCACGATTGGAAGGGCAGCTCGGGTTCAGGAAAGTGTGATTGCCTCTTGGCCGTGCTATGGATCCTGTTTGTTTTTTCAGGGTTGCTGTTTCCGCATCATTGAAAAGGGAGCAGCACCGTTTGCTCTTTGCTTTTTCCCCACCCAGGCAAAGTCAGTGACAGTGAGCACAGGACGGCTTGTCAGGACACTGGGTACTCCAGCTGAGTGGCCATCGTTTTGAAGGTTGCCTGCATGGAGATTGATGTCATGCTGCAGCTGTTGTACTGTTTGAAGCCCTGATTCCCTCAAGGTTCCATGAGTGGCAGGGAGCTGGCAGGAAGACATAATTAATTGGCACGAGCAGTCCAGGGAGTCGAAATCGGCCTTAGCAGTATGGTCCCCTTATTGCCCTCATTACAAAGACTATGCTATCAGTATGCCCCAAGGTCCTGCTGTTGATGACAATAAATCCTGCATTACCTTAAGGACCCTAAACAATGGGAACATATTATGGTATATTCCTTCTAATGGGTAATGCAGGATTTCTATGGTCAACCGTATTCTGATTGCTGAAGCCTGTATATTCGGCTGTCGCTGGTCCATGTTTGTCTGAAAAGCAGACGTTCCTTTAACGGCTTCTACCGAACTTCGCAGCGCGAGAAATGCTGTGCGTCTTCTTGGCCCCGATGGCAATGATGCATTGAGTCTGGGATTTTAGGATTTTGGGTTTGGGGTTTAGGGTTTAGGGACCTGGGAGTGGTTTAAGGTTCTTGGAGTTTACAGCTCGTCTAGACGTGCCAAACATGCACGGCTCGGGTGGTCCGTAATTAGCTCTCCTGGTATAGCTTCGGAAGCAAACTTTTGTTGCACAGACTTACATTCTGATACGTTGGTATGCTCCACCTGCTTCAGCTTGCGACTACTTCTGGAGTGAAAGTGTGCATGGGCGGAGGCGTGAGTTTGCGATTTGAAGACAAGCCAGGGCTCAAAGCAAGGGCAGAGTTTCACGAGGGGTTCTGGATTCATAGGTCTTGTTTACAGGTTTCGGGTGGGCTACCAAATTTTTTCATGAAGCTTCAAGATCTACTCTGTGCCATGTCAGAGTACCATTCAAAGAATGATGTACCTATGAGGACAAGATCTTGGGCGTCTTCGACCGCATTGCCCCGCTCTCGAAGCACGGCGAGCCGGTGCGAGCAGCTTGATTGACAAGGCGTAAGGCACGGTAACCTAGTACTGTATACTGAGTATACCGTATAACTGCATAGCTTCCCTGAGTGGTTTTGTGTACAGGTCTCAATAGTACGGTTGTCCACCCCTTAATGGATGCTTCCGAGGGACTGTCCTGAATCACGGTGCAATGACCCCCAAAACGGAGCATAGCTTGGCACGGGCCCTCGTTTCGAGGCAGCCGTACCTCAGATCCTGCTATCAACGGCCTGGGTAGGAGTAGGGCCTTGGATAATACGTCAAAGCCAAAATTCGCCACCCTGAACCCTGCACCCCATACGCTCCAGAGGCCCTCTTCTGCACTTACATCTTTGGGGCACTCCTCGTGCTCATCGGAGAGGCGGAACAGATTTCGAGCTTGGATTTTCGGACACCAGAGGTGTAGGCCTTGGGGATAGGGCTTATGGCTGAGAGTTTGGGGCTTAGGGTTTGGGGTTTAGGGCTGAGGCTTTGCGGGTTTAGGGCTTTGGCTTTGGGGGTTTTGTGGATGCCTAGCGTTGAGGAGTTAGTTTTGCACAAGAGCGTTTTTGTTTAAGGTACTGTATGCGTCGGTTCAAGACTGGTTTTGAAATTTCCACGTTAGGCAAGGAGGCATGTGTATTTAGCAAGTTTCATCTTCCGTCTTCTTTTCGAAATTCTAATCCGGACCGGGAATCGGAATCGCAGTCAGGCTTCAGGTTTGGGGTTTATTTAGCTTGGATGCTGCCCCCACTCAGTAACATTTGTATAATCTTTATGTACTATAGATGTATGAGGCCCTTAATAGTAGCCCTATTAGCCCTATTATACACTGTTACTGCATGGGGGCCGTACCCAAGGCTTAGCGTTCAGGGTAAATCTATGTATATAAATCTTCTAAACCGTTGCATGAATATGTATCTGAACTAGTAGCTATACGGGTTGCTTTCAGGGGCTCAATTACATGCACGTACGAATCGTAGCTAAATACATTGGACACGGTAGGCAAAAACTAAACACGATTGATCGAGATGCGACTTTCTCGCCCCCTTCCCCCCTCCCAGTGCAGAGGACAAGTTTCCAACATCCTCGATCTAAGGAAATCTGCTCAATACTGTCAAAAACTGATCTTGGTCAAGCTTCGTGAAGCAGAAAAACCTTGTTCTTTTCGGGCAGCTTTTTCACTTCGGGAATGGACTGCTTTGCTCCGGCATTTGATTTGCTTCCTTTGCCACGCAGGTGAACGCAGTCGCGCCACTGTTGACCATGTGCCCGGCTGCAATTTATCCTCGAATCCTAGCAGCCCAGTTGCTTAGGTTACTTGCTGTCCTTGCATCTGCAACTTAGCAGTAGACCGGGTAATCTTTAACCTCTTTGGTGCATTATAATCATAATTCCTACATAGTCCCAAAGGTGACGATCTTGCTTCCCTAGGATATTGGACAACTGAGATAACCATGTTGTGGTGTTGCAGTAAAACTCTAGACCCTAAACCCCAGTATGTAACTGGCCCTAAACCCTAAACCCCTAAACTCAACCCTAAACCCTAAACCCCTAAACTAAACCCTAAACCCCTAAACCCTGGGACTTCAAAAGGTGAGCTGTCAGGTTCGGGTCCGGAGGCTTTGATGATGCTTAATACCGGAGTCAGATCCTTACGGCTCCTGTGTATTCAAGTTGTGCTCACGACGAAGGCCCCTTCATCCTAGGCTTTAGGGTTTGACATCATTTCTTTGTCATAGTTGGTAACATTTTGCATTTTTTGGGTACTTAATTAAACCCAATAAGGAATAACAAGTATTTTCTTAATCCGATCCCAACCATGAACTAGATGTGTTGTTGGCAACGACGCCAAGAACTGCTCAGCAGGAGCCTGGAGCGGTTCGGGCTCAAGGGCGAGGCTGCATCCTAAGCCCTACCCAAAGGCCCCAAAGTGGTTCCTTTATATAGAATCCTTTACGGTAGTACCGAAAAAGCGGGGCCTCTGGGTAGCTACATAAACCATGAATCAGTACAGGATACTAACCATAGAACTGGTCAACCAACACGGGGACAAACTTTACACCCTGAACCCTAACGGCAGGACGCTGAGACAAAAGCCTTCAAGTCGAACTACGACCACCCTCTTAGCATCAATCTCTCTCTTGGCTCGAGTAAAGGTTGTGTAGGAAGATTCTGGTTTGGGCAGCGTTGGATTTGACATGAAGGGCTGTGAGCTTACCTCCGCTACGGCAATACCGCTGACTTCAAGCCCATCAAGATGTACCCGTATGAGACCTTCTCTACCTTTCGTGATGAGTACTTCCGTCCCTTCCCCGATTCCAAGGGCAAGAAAAAGGACAGTAAGAACATCTGCATCACCTCACCTAAATCACTTTGGCGCTTCCTCACTATTAAGCCTGAAGTAAACCCTATAAACACTAGACCTTAACCCCTAAACCCCAAGCTCCAGATACTACACCTCAACCAGAAACACTAAAGTAAACGCCAGAAAGTTGGAATATGATTCTCCTAAACCCTTTATTGTGAATTACAAGGTATCCTACCCTGAAACCATATTCCAACTTTCTGGAGTTCCCTTTAACCGCCTAAGGTGCTTCCTGGTGGCTTACACCCCCACCCCTAAACCCTAAGCTCTAGATGCTACACCTCAACCACAAGTCCTAATACTAAACGCCTAAGGTGCTTCCTGGTGGCCCCAAGCTCCAGATACTACACCTCAACCAGAACCACTGAACGCCTAAAAGGTGCTTCCTGGTGGCCTACACCAAAAACCCCGAAACCCCTAAGTTGCTTACTGGCAGCCTACACAAAAAACGGCTCAAAGGTGCTTCCTGGTGGCTTACACCTTTATGAACTTCTCCTGCTTTGTGCTGACCTGGGTGCGCTCGCCAGGTTTCCGGCCCGCAGGCCGAGACCCTCTGAATTTTGGGCTTACGGCTCCTTAAAGGGAACTCCAGAAAGTTGGAATATGGTTTCATGGTAGGATACCCTATAATTTACCATAGAAGGGTTAGGCTAATCATATTCCAACTTTCTGGGTTTTACCGTAAAGGGTTCCTTTAAGGAGTCCCTTTAATGATTCTTTTAAGGGCCTTCTTAGGGGTTCCTTTAGGGGTTCCTTTAAAGCTTAATTACAGTAGACCTCATAAAGTTGGAAACCGGATTAAGGCCAAATAGTGCTGGGATTCCCTATACATAGTCTGAAGGTTTGAGGCTATGGGGTGTCCAACTTTTTGGCTTCTACAGTAAACCCACAACCCTCAGGGTGTTAAGGGGATTTTAGGGCTATTTCGCTGTGATTGCTCTTGCAAGAACGGGAGTTGATGATTATAGGGTCTTGAGGCTCTCAAACTACAGTAACCTACTCTGCTGGAAGGATATACAAGAACATCCCCTGCCCTGTTCTGTGCTGCCTTGCCCCACTGAAGGTAAGGTCTCATGCATGCATGCAGATGTATGCAATGTAAAATAATATAATATCATATAGCGTAGTGTAATGCAATGTAGTGTATACGCATTTAGGTACGTGTGTACCTTTCACATGCATGCGCCCTGTAAACTTGTTGTTTTTGTTTTTTTACGTCCAGGCTAGTTCCTTGTATTACACATGGCAGTACACGTGTGGCTGCGGCTGTACGATGTATGCAAGATAGTACAGTACATGGGGTATCGTGCCCTGCAGCGGCCTTTGGTGCTAAATGGCCAAAGCCCCCTAAGAGCATACCTTCACTAAACTAGGATAGGAACCCTAGTGTGATTTAAGGTGTACTGGTTAATTTATGGGTTTTGGAGTCTCTGGGTAAACCGTAAACCCTCTACCCAACCCGAGTCTTGTCGTTTCGATAGGCCGTAGATCTTCAATCCTAGGCCCCAAACCCTCTAGGGTTCGGGTTTAGGGTTTATGCATATATAAATGTGTATGTGTGTATACATATATTATATATGTAATGTATTTCTCTCTCTCTCTCTCTCTCTCTCTCTCTCTCTCTCTCTCTCTCTTATCTATCTATCTATCTATCTATCCATCCATCCATCCATCTATCTATCTATCTCTCTCTCTCTCTCTCTGTCTCTCTCTCTCTCTCTCTCTCTCTCTCTCTCTCTCTTATAGGCTTTTTGTTTCGATTTTGGCGCCCTCTCCCGAAGGCATGTCGCGAAAGCGCTGGCGGTGTTGGTACATGTTTACCGGCCTCCTGGGCCTCTCAGCTGCGCCGTTCAAGACTTTAGAGCTGAAGATTCCAAAGTAGTTCCTTTTTGTGGATTTCCTTATAGGATTCTATATATGAACCCCAAGAAGGAACTACTTTAGGGCCTTAGGGTAGAGCTGAAAGGCCCTCCAAAGCTTAAGGTTTACCTGGACCTGATAAAACCCACCCTTTTCAATTTGTCGGGTTCCTTGCTAAAGTTTCCTTATATCAGTCCTCAAAACATAGGCTCCTTGGGGTTTAGGTAGGGGTTATGGGTTTAGAGAATAGGGTTTAAGGTTTAGGGTTCAAGGTTTACGGCTTACCTGGACGCCAAAGAAGCCTTTTGTAGGTGTTGGGCCATCATTTTTACTACTCTCGGGTTTTTTTAGGCACAGGCTTAAGGTCAGTACAGGGGTTGCAATAAGTGGAAGAGGGTTTTGGTGTTGCGATCCGCACCCTGAACCTTAAAACAACAAAACCCTTAACCCAAAGTCCAAACCCTAATAAGCTCCAAACCCTAAGCCCCAACCCCTAACCCTCATCCCAATAACATGCTACGTCTCCCACTGGTGGGCCCTTTTTTTTTTTTTTCAATTTTTGTGGTCTTAGCTCTCTTCTAAAAATTGCCCAATACCAAAAACGGAGCCCTTTTGTTTCCTACGGTTGATGATATAAATCCTGCATTACCCATAATAGGGAATATACCATAATTCCCATAGTTTAGGGCCCTTAAGGTCATGCAGGATGGTTACTGAAGATTCCTATCTCCTAGCTCCAAGGAGTCCCCGGCCCGCCTGAGCTTCATGCTCCTGTTTGAAGTTGAAGTATCTTACGGTTTGGTGTACGGATTGGGGTTTAGGGTTTAAGGTTGCGGGTCTAGGGTTAGTCATTTTGGAGTTCGGGGTTTAAGGTCTAGTGTGGCGGGGTCGATTTTGAGGTGTTGGGAGGTGAGGCCGAAGATGTCAGTTTGCAAGGTTTCTTCTTACGGGGACTTAGAAATAATTCCAGATCTTTGGTTATTATCTTCGCTAAGAAATAGCAAAAACTAGAATTTTGCCAAGGGTCTAAGTTCAGTATAGGCTTAGGAATTGGCTTAGGGGGTGAAGGATTTGTAGGGCTTCGGGGAAAGATAGACAGCACTTGCAGAAAAACCCGCCCATTCCAGGTGGCCGTGTGGATTGTGGTCTCTTTGTCATTACCCAGGTGTAGTTCCATTGCTTGTTCTGCGGCTGTGCGTTCCAGCTCCCTTGCTGCGGTTGTCCTTGTCAATATTTAGTGCGGGGCGTGTCGAGGTTCCATCGTCTGCCTCTCCATCATGGTCATCGTCAGCCAGTATTGGGCGGTCGGCGTTCTCTTTGTCAGCTTCTGTACCTCGGCTCCGAGTCATCTTAAGGCTTAAAGCTGCTGCATCCCGAGACCTCAGCCGAAATCCGGAAGCCAGCGACAATCCTGCCCGCAACATTGGAGTTTCAAAGCTTGAAAGATTTTCAACAACACTGAAAGCCTATCTTAACTTCTAACAAACGCCTGGGAAGTCTGTTAAAATCCTATACAAGCCTCTGCCACTCCGGCAGATGCCCAGTTTAGTTTTGGGCTCAGGGTTTAGGGTTTCTAGAGCCTTGGCTAAGGGCTTAGAGCGTAGGGTTAAGGTTTGGGATTCCCGGTAAGAGTAGTAACGCTTCAACAAATGACCTAATGCAGCAACAAAAGAAACGTAGAAAAGTCCTACAAACCTTCACCAAACCCTGTGGTCGATGTAGCTCCTTACCAGAACCTACGTCCTAGTGCCCATGTCAGCTCGCGGAGTCCCCATGTAGAGTCACAGAAAGCCCTTCTACAGCTCGGTTCAGAGATTAGAGAGTTTCATAAGAAGCAATTAAAAGATTTATAACCCCTTCCCAAAGTACCCGTGCCAGCAGAGCGTGTCACAATACATAGAATCGCAACAATACAACTCGAGGTCTCGTCTGGTCTGGTTGAGGGTTCCTTAATGTTAAAGTGCTTCCTTTAAGGGTTACTCAAGGGTGTATACTTTAAGGATTACTTTGAGGTGTTGAAGCCTTATATGATTGTACTAAGCTCTACATCTCCTTGCTGTTTGGGAGCTTGGCGGGAAACTTAGGGCTCGTTTGACGACGGCTGCCAAGGTTGAGGGTTCTCAGAGTTCAGGGTAATTATGCGGTTTAGGGTTTAGGGTTTAGGGTTTAGGGTTTAGGGTTTAGGGTGGTCTGGTTCGTTGCTTTGGGACTTCAGGGCTCAGTATAGGGATCTTTCTAGGAACCTCTAGCCGTAACCTGTATAGTAGCCCTTAGGCCGGTTGTAGTGTTCATAGCAGCCTTGCCTCGTTCGCGGTTCGTATTGCAGGCGTAGGCTTGAGCTTTGGATCCGGGCGTTGACCTTGAACTGGGAGGTTCGATTATACGCCTCAGTGTTGTTTACGTCTTCTTGGGATGTCAGACGTGTGCCTTTATTCGGTTAAACGGTCATACTCGTATGTCGGGGGAAAATACACAGAAGCTGCAGAAGGGAGCCACAAGGAATAGTATCACGCACTATACACGAGGTTACCAGAGGTGACGCAAAGTTGCGCTGTTCGTACTAATGGAGACCTACTATGCTTGACACATGGGATGTGCGGTTTACATGTGCCTAGCCGCTTAGCTCTTGAGGTCTGTACCTCTACATCAACTGGCGGCTTGAGCAGCGAGAACCTTTGCAGAACAGGCAGTGCACAAAGGTGTAAGGAATACACTACTGGAAGCAGAAAATTAACGTTGAGTTTGCAAGATCTTCGCCGTCATGCGTGTCATCACCTCGCAAGCGCAATCAAGCAAGTGTTCAGCAGTTGGCCGTATCACTGGTAATTAGAGCGAAGGGGTTCCGATCAAAGGATTCCTTGAGAGGTTCGCCTGTTGCACGCCGAAATTGCGTTCAGGGTTTAGGCTTTAGGGTGTCATTCCGGATCCGCCGGGGGTTTGGCATAAAGCTCAACGCTGTTGGGGGGCTGAGAATCTCACATGTCAAGGCTTTTGGCCCCGAAGACCTCGCTGAACAATCTCTGTGGGGTGTGCCTAGAGGGTCATACCCTACCCCTTTTTTTGGATACCTAGTTTTATGGTTAGGTTCTCTAATAGAAAAGTAGGTACCTTAAAAAAGGGTAAGGTATGACCCTATAGGTGTTGTCCCCGAGGGTTCCACATTGTACCGGCTGCAGCCACCCACACCCCAGGGACTGAACCTGCGAACCTCAAGTACTATAGAGGCCTTAATTATATAGTAACTACATGCACTATTCTGCTTGTTTTTTATTGTGAAGTATAATCTGCCCCAAAACCCTATTCCATGTATTAAAGGTCCCTAGATCACTCGAAACCTTCAGAAGGCAGAAGAATAACAACAAAAGCTTCAACTGCAAGCTCCGGAGCCCGAGCCCTGCAGCCCTTACATAGCATGGGAGTTTCCGAAAATAGTGCACCCCAGTGTAGCACCTTAAATCGTCGAATCCTTATTATAATAAGGACCCCCAAAAAGGGACTCCTTATTTTCGGAAACTCATAAATCGTAAATGAACTGGCGCAGTATTCTTTTGTAATGTAAGCACGTGCCCATACACGAAGATTTACATGTTGTGCATGTATGCATGTATGCATCTATCTATCTGTCTGTCTATATAGCTATCAATCCGTCTATTCATCTATCCATCTAACACCACCTATCTATCTTTCTCTCTTCCTAGCCATGTATCTACCTGATCTATCTGCACACGTGCCTTCTGTTACGATAGTTCGTTGTTTGTGTTTTCCGTATGTACGCATGTACGTCTGTATAGCAAGGTGTGTTTGTAAGCATCTGTACATCCACACAAACGCACTCCTTGCCTGTAGATCCTGTACAAAGCCACCTGGAACTAGCGCTAATCTCAACCTACACTCAGAAATCCTAATACCGCTAATAGCACTCAAACCCGAAAACCCTTGAAGAGCTAAAGCAAGAAAGCCTAAAACCCTAATCCCTGCGCACCTAAACGGCTAAACCCGAAGACCCAAATGGCCCTAAGCCTTCAAAGCCCTAAGCCCTAAACCCCTAAACCCTAAACCCGTAACTGAGCCCTAAACCTTAAACCCCTAAGCCCCAACCCCGAACCCATAAACACTAAACCCTAGACCCCTAAACCCTAACCCTGAACCCCTAAACCCTAAACCCCCAACTGCGCCCCAAACCCTAAACCCCTAAACCCCTAAACCCTAAACCCCTGAACCCCTAAACCCTGAACCCCTAAACCCTAAACCCCTAAACCCTAACCCTGAACCCCTAAAACGCCCTGAAGCAAGGACCCCTAAACCCTAAAACCCCTAATCCCTGAACCCCTAAGCCCTAGAAAGCCCTGAAGCAAGGAGTGGGGCAGCGCCTTGGATGGCATTCGCTTCCAGCTGGCTCTCAACTCTCTGATCCAGCTCGAGGCAAGTAGGGAATGGAAGGGCCCTTATAAAGGGGTCTATAAGGGGTCACTATAAGGAATCTATAAGGGTACTATATTAGAGGCAAGGGGCCCAGCCTTATTTAGGGTTTAGGGGTTTAGGGTTTAGGGCTTAGGGTTAGGGGTTGTAGGAAACAGGGTTCAGGGTTTACGGGTTAGGGTTGTAGGGGTTCAGGGTTTAGGGCTTAGGGTTGTAGGGTTTAGAGTTTAGGGGCTTAGGGGTTTGGGGTTTAGGGTTTAGGGCTAAAGGTTTAGGGTCAGGGCCCAACTTCATAGGAGGCCAAAAGGGACTTTAGCCTACGGGGGTTTAGTCGGGATGAGGGTTCCCATAATAGGGTTTATAGAGTGGTAGTAGGAGTAGTAGTAGTTTTGGGTTTAAGGTTTAGGGTTTCTTTGGTTAGTAGGGAATGGAGCAATGGGGTACAAGTATAACTACTATTACTGCCATTCCTCCATTCCCCTAAACTCTAAACCCTACAACCCTAAGCCCGACTATTACTGCCATTCCTCCATTCCCTACTAACCAAAGGCAAGCAACTCGACAGGCCGGGGAGTGCTTGGGGCCTGAATTTTTGATTGGGGGTTTAGGGTTTAGGGGTTCAGGGGGTTCAGGGTTAGGTAGGCCTTTGGGACACTGTATACGTCGGCCCACGGGGATCTTATTCACGAATACTTGTCAAAGGCCATAATAACGGGCCAAGTTTACTACACCCTAAACCCCTAACCTCTTAAACCCGTAACCCCGAAAAGCCCTGGGTCCTAGGTCTTTAGTCTTTAGGGCATTGGGTGGAGTTTAGACTGATACCATAAAAAAAGGAAACCGTTCTTTTTTAACTGCAGATCCCTAATATGGTACCTTGAATTAAATTCCTTGGCAAGACCCCAGATAAGTACATTCAACTCCGCCTTGATGTCTGTGCAGAGGCAAAAGAAGCTTGGTAGCTAAGGTTCTGTGTTGTATACCTTTACTCAACTTACGGACCAGGATTTGCATTGCATCCTGCAGTAATATTAATGAGAGCAGATCGTGTCTATCCTCGCCATATACAGGTATGAAACATAAAAGTAAGACTTCAGAATGCTTGCTGATGTGCTAGCTCTGATGAAGTCGGGACTTGCTCTGTCTCCGTGTCAAGCTGATGTTTTATGGGTTTAGGGTAAATAGGGACCTAATTTAAGTTACCATAATGAAAACCGTACTTTTTCTATAGATCCCTACTATGGCACCTGCAAGTGGGCTTAGGGTTTAGGGTTCAGATGGCCTAATAACACAAAGATTTCAACCCAAAGTTCGCCCAATTGTACAAGAAGACAGCGACCCTCTGCCGCACAGTCCTCACTTTGCCTTCCCTGACGCCCTCTACCCTCAACCTCCGACCCTCAAAGCCGGGAGCCATCCCTAAACCCTAAACCCTAAACCCCGTATGTGATCATTTACAGTGTAAGCCGTAAGATCGGCTGGACCTCTGCAGAAAAAGGCCCCATTGCACTTTAAAAAAAAAAAACCCTAAACCGCTGCAGCTCTGAATCCTCAAGTCGCGTTCCCTAAGCCCCAAGCCTTGAACCGCCGTTCAAAGCGCTCTAGCCCCAGTAAGCCGTGAATCCTGACGAGACCATAGGGATCCTTAGGGGTGTAGGGGGAGGGGGGGTAGGGGGCCTTAAGGCCCATAATAAGGACTAATAAGGCCTATTTAAGGAAATATAGTCCCCTACACCCCTCCCGCCTACACCCTTAAGGATCCCTATGAAGAGAAGAGCTTGAACTCTTAACGGAGCCCCTTAAAGCAAGCCTGCTTTATAGCACCACCTATAACTTACAACTATCCATGAACCTCCCAGTAAGCCCCAAATTCTAACTGCCTACAGAACCCTTAAAGGAGCAAGTTAAAGGGCCCCCTGAGAAGGAACCCTTAAAGGAGCCGCTTAACCTTATATAAATCCTAAATCCCTATAGAGCTCTTCCAGGAACCCTTAACAGAGACCCTGGGATATAGAATGCTTAAAGGAGCCTTTAAAGGAGCCCTTCCCAGAGAGCCCAATACCCCTTAATGAAGCAATATACCATAAAATATAAGGGGCTTCATATTATGATTTCAGCCATATTCCTTGATTAAGGGGTGTTCGGCTCTCTGAGTTAAAAGAGCCCCTTAAGTCTGTGCCAGGAGCGGGGCCATGCCGCCGTGAATTGGCAGCCCCAGATCTTGATCTTGTACCGGATCCACCTCTCGGAGGACTGCTTCGACGGTTTAGGGTTCAGGGGTTTAGGGTTTAGGGGTTTAGGGTTTAGGGGTTTAGGGGTTTCGGGGTTTAGGGTTTAGGGTTTAGGATTTAGGGTTTAGGAACTTTAAGGGTTCTTTAGGGTTTAAGTAGGGGTTTTGGGATTTAGGGTTTAGAGTACCGGATCCACCTCTCGGAGGCTTCTTTGGAGGTTCTTTAAGGGTTCTTGAGGGGCTTCGGGTTCTTTAAGGGTTCTTAGGCCCTCCAGGTGTTTAGGGTTTTGAGGTTTAGGATTTAGGGCCGTTTAGGCTACCGGATCCCTTGTGGGGGGTTCTTGAAGGGTTCTTTAGGATTAGAGGCTTAGGGGTTCAAGAGTTCTTCAGCGGTTTGGGGTTTATCCGAGGGTAAAAGGAGGGACCCTTAATAAGGACCTCTAGGTATATACCCTTCATATATAGCTATTATATACCCAGTATATAGCCCATTATAAGGTAGGGGTCCCCATTAAGGGTCCCTCCTTTTCCCCTTTGAGTTTAGGGTTTAGGGTACCGCATCCACCTCTGAGGGTTTGCGGCTTAGGGTTTTGGGGTTTGGGCTTTAGGGTTTTAAGGCTTAGGGTGTTAAGGGTTTGGGTTTTTTGGGTTTTGAGGTTCAGGGTGTTTGGGTAATTACAGGATCCACCTCTGCGAGGCTTAAGGGGTTCTTCACGGGTTCTTGAGGGGCTTAGGCCCTCCAGGTGTTTAGGGTTTTGAGGTTTAGGATTTAGGGCCGTTTAGGGTACCGGATCCCTTTTGGGGGGTTCTTGAAGGGTTCTTTAGGATTAGAGGCCTAGGGTTCTTCAGGGGTTTAAGGGTTCTTCAATGGTTTGGGGTTCAGGGTTTTGAGGTTCGGGTTGAGGTTTCTGAAGGGGGAACTCTGTGAGGCAGGGGTGTCCTTCAATTACTAAAAAGGGGTGCTTGGGGCTTTAGGGTTTATAGAGCTTTGTTTTGGGGTTTTGAGGTTAAGGATCCACCTCTCTGAGGCTTGTTTAGGGTCCTTCAAACGGATTC